CAAACAGTATTCTTCATCAGTTTGGTGTCAACTCTCTTTGACAGCAGTTACCAGATCAGCTTTGCAGGTCGGAGCTTCTTGTGGACCTTTTTTTTCCAATTTCCACCACAGGTTTTCAACTGGGTTGAGATCTGGACTATTTGCAGGTCATGACATGGACTGAATGTGTCTTTCTCCAAGGAATGCCTTCAGTGTTTTTGCCCTATGGCACGATGCATTGTCATATTGGAAAATGATTTCATCACCTCCAAACATCTGTTCAARTGAAGGGATGAGAAAACTGTCCAACATGTCAATGTAAACTTGTGCATTGATAGAAGAATGAACCACAGTGCCTTTGCCTGACATGCAGCCCCATATCATCAAGGACTGTGGAAATGTGGTTTTCTTCAGGCAGATCCTCTTCATAAATCTCACTGGAACGACACCAAACTAAAGTTCAGCATCATCACCTTGTCCAATGCAGATTCTTGACTCATCACTGAAGATAACTTTCATCCAGTCATCCACAGTCCATGATTGCCTCTCCTTAGCCCATTGCAGTCTTGTTCTTTTTGTTTAGGTGTCAATGATGGTTTTCTTTTAGCTTTCCTGMATTGAAATCKCATTTCKTTTAGGRBATTTCTTAKYGTTCYGTCACATACATTGGCTCCAGCTTCCTCCCATTTATGCTTCATCTGTTTAGTTGTACTTTTCCAGTTTTCAAGACAAATGGCCTGAAGTTGTTTGTCTTGATGCTTTGATGTCTTTCTTGGTCTACCAGTACACTTGGCTTTAACAACCATTCCATGTTGTTTGTATTTGGTCCATATCTTGGATACAGCTGACTGAACAGCCCACATCTTTAACAACCATGTGTGAAGAGTTACCTTCTTCAAGAAGTTTCACAATCCTCTCTTTGTTTCAAGAGACATTTCTCTTGTTGGAGCCATGGTTCCTGCCACTCCACTTGGTCCAGCAGCCCTCCAAGGCGTCATGACTGCAGGTGTTTTTAACTGCAGACTAACAGCAGATCTAATCTGAGGCAGGTGTCCATTTAGGGAAAGGAAACTGACTGGGTGTGTCCTTATTTTATACCTCCAATTTGAGGGATTCCATATTTTTCCCTGTGCTTGGTCAATAAAAGTAACATTCACTGACTTCCACAATGTTTTCTCTTCATTTCTTTGAGTGTTCCTGAAAGCCAACAAGTTGACCTTTGGAATGACCTTATTATTGTATCATTTTTTGATCTGAGTTTGTTTTACAGAATGAAATGTCTGAATGAGAGCTCATCAGAGACTGCTGATTCCAGACTTTTAGACAGGGATTGTACAGTATATGCCAGGTGTGATGGATCAAGTCAAACAAATGTCTCCAAAATAACTCGGGCAACATGTGCTTGTATAAAAACATATATTTATTGATCTGTTACAACTAGGTAAGTTGCTGAACAATAATGGCGGCAGGCCAGGAGACAGACTGTACATGTTTACAGGAAGCAGAGCTTCTGTAGATTCAGTGGCAGACATATAACAACGCAGAACAGAGAAAGAAATCTGCATCCTTCGTTCAACTGAACTGTTGGGTTGTGTTCGAGTCCTTCAGCCAAAGTGGTTCTTCTCCTAAGCAGTCAAATGACCAAATGCAGTAAAAATCCTGTACATTGTTGTGTGGTAATACATCTTAACACTCAGATCTCTGATGGACAGTGATATCTACTCACTTTTCTCCTCCACTAAAACATGCATGGTGGAAGAAAGTCTAGTAAAGTTTGACCAGATAAAGACAGGAATAGAGGTGCTCTATATTCGACAAAAATACTGTGGATTAAAATAGATTTAGGTTACATTTATATATATATATAAAGGTTTAAATGTGAAGCGGCCAGCCACCAGTGCTGTCCCACACACATTCTGCAACACGTCTCAGCTGGACCGTTACGTTTCTCCTGTCCATCTGCAGAGCAGACACAGGACCCTGATCCTGAACCTGCTGCTGTTGGTGCAGACAGGAAGACTAATATCATCAGAGAAACAAGCTAGAGCAAAGCAGGAAGTTGTGAGTTGAAGTCTTTTGTGGTGTTTGTTGAACAGAAGGGTTTGGTTCGTGCTCTGGTTGGACTGGCTGTGATCAATAACAGAGCTGGTTTAATTAAAGTCGTCAGATGACAGACAGGAAGACACGTAGAGGACTTGTTTCATTGGGTGGATTAAAAAAGACAGGAAAGTAGAAAGGCAGAGAAGAAGCAGGCCTCAGCAGTTAGTCTGTGAGCTCACAGCATTAAAAACAGCAGCTCAGGAGGAGGAGGAGTCCAAAGAAGGTGGGACCAGGTCCAAATGTCCCAGTTCATCCAAATAAACATATCCATGTCCTCTCCTGTACCGTCTCAGTGGAGACACCAGCGCTCAGATACAAAGTGCAAAAAATAAATCATGTGTAACACAGAACCAGTCAGAAACAACGTAACAAATTCTTCTCCTGCAGTCTGAAACCTCTCGTCCACACTGAGCTTCAGTTTGTTTAAACCAGACTGAAACGATCCTGTTTATGTGCCACAAAACACACAGTTTTTACTGGTGCTGTCAGGAAAACATGAACCGCACACAGCTGTGTCAGAAGTGTAACCTTTAAATCAGCCTGTAGTTTTCCAACACTGAGCAGAACTGATGAGAAACTGTCTGATTTGATCCAGGAGTTTGGTTTGGAGGGCTGACTCTAACCTGGGCTCTGAGCTGGAAACTTCAGTTAGTCTGACTGAATCCTGTTTTACACATGTTGTGAATTAAAGGAGGATTAAAAGAGCCAGTGATAAGTTTCCAAACAAGTTTTCACTAAACTCAGACAACGTGCAGCAAGTACTGGTTGTACCTGTTGTTTCCTGTCCTGGGGAGCTCCCCTGCAGGTATCATCATATGTAGCTCTTGAGACAAGCCTGGGGGCGGGGCTTCCAATGTCCCGTCACGACTGTTTACAACCATTTGGTGACTCCAACACACAAGCAGTTCACAAGCTAGTTTATAACAGTGTCTTCAACAGTAAGTGTGTCAGTTTGTTGCACACAGAGACAAACCTGACTGTAAGAACCAGGGCTCTCATTTATAAAGGATTGCGTGGAAACCACACTAAAAGTGAACGTACGACCAAAAGGCTGAAATGGCGTACGCCAAAAAAAATTCTGATTTATAAAACCGTGCGTACGCACGTTTCTGTGCATCTTTCCTCTTTAAATCACAGCCGCA